TACTTCTTTTTTTTACCAACATCACCTGAACAAAGTGACAGTGTGCAGTAGCTTTTAGCTGCTATCCTTGTGTTTAAGTAATTTTCTGTCTCCTCTTACATCTTTGTTTTATAGATCTTAACCCCATGCCTACAGAGGAGATCGTSCAGATGTTCAATGAACTTCGCAGCGACCTGGTGTTGCTGTATGAACTCAAGCAGGCCCACAGCAACTGTGAGTACGAACAGCAGATGCTGCGTCATCGTTACGAAGCCCTGCTGAAAGCTGGCAGCGGGGCCGGCGGCGGTGGCACCACAGGTGGAGGCCCAGCTGGTGTCTCTCAGAGCGCAGAGATCAGTGCCATTAACAATGCGTCATCTGCCCCTGGAGCTGAGGCTCAGTCCTGGCCCAGCGCGGATGATATCAAGGTGGAACCCAAGGAGCAGATCATTGATGTCGTAGGAGCACCTCTTACCCCCAACTCGGTTAGTGTACACGGCAAAGATGCTAAAATGAGAGTGGTAATGAAAATGTGGCAAGTGATGTCGTCAGAATAATATCATAGTTATGTATTTTCCAAATACACTGCCTTGCCAAAAAAAAAGTTGCCGCCTGGATTTAACCAAGCAGATAGGTACGAGCCTCCTATTGGGTTATTACTGCATGGGCGATTGTCTTACAGCTGGTCAGGTCTAGGTTCAGCAGCAGTATGTGCTCAAAGAATGAGGTCAGCTGAATAAGCAGGTGATTCCATCAATGGATTTTTTTTCTTCCCTGATGGCACGAGCATATTCCAAGATGACAAAGCCAGAATTCATCTGGATTGGCTCCACAGAGTCCAGACCTTAACCCCCTTTCAGAATCTTTGGGATGAGCTGGAGAAGGCTTTCCATAGCGGTCAGACTCTACCATCAGTGCAAGACCTTGGTGAAAAATTAATACAACACTGGATGGAAATAAATCTTGCGACATTGCAGAAAATTATGGAAAAAAATGCCACAGTGTGCCGCAATCAAGGCTAAAGGCAGTGCAACAAAAAATATTTTGGTGGCGACTTTTTTCGGCCAGGCAGTGTATTATGCAATCAAAACTTACTTTACCATCATCAAATATCAGTCTGGGACACTAGGAATTAAAGATAATATAACACTGTGTTGCAATAAACATGCATATTTTTTCAACACACACAGGACTTTAAATTAGAGGTGTCAAACTCAGTTACACAAGAGGGCCAAAATTCTAAACTTGGCCAATTTTTGTTAATATGTRYTGAAAAAATGCTGCACTTTTAATTGCAATTGTCGGTTCATTCCATTTACTCATGTCCATGTAAACATAGCTACAGACTCGCTGCAACACGACTCCTCTGTGTATTGTCTGCAGCGCAAACGGAGAGAGTCAGCATCCAGCTCATCGTCTGTGAAAAAAGTGAAGAAGCCTTGATGAGAGCTGCAGCCTCGGCACACTCTGGAGGACAAATGACCGTGTTACTTATTCCGATGACAGCGGAGTGCCCATGAGCATTACGGCCGGACGGGACCGACACAACTGAGCCCGGTCACCACATTATTGCAGACGCACCACTGACACACAACTCCTCACCTGCTAACGAGACCTCTCCAAACCCTCCTCATCTGGCYGTGACAAAGGCAATGACTGAGTGACATTTCATTCCATTACGGCTCGTCTCCCAGCCTCCGCCAACCGGTCGGCCGCAGATGAGGCAAGAGCAACTGTAAATTGCCGGGCTGAGCTAATCGGGACGGGGTGAAGAAGGCGGGAATGACTGGGTAATTGAAATGAATTGGAATGAAAGAACAAAGTCAAGGAGTGGGAGGACCTGGAGCCGCTATGCTCATTTGAGCTATCTGATTTTTTTATTTTTTTTGGTAACCTAATCATACCATAGTGTTTACTGGAAATGTGTTTTTGTGTTAGTCTCTAGTACCAGGTCTCTTTCCAGACCTGGAGCGCGTTTTGTTCTCTCATGGAGGGCACTTCCCTCCTCCCATCCTTTATGTTTGACTACAGAGGCTGATTTATGTTCATTCTCTCCTCAGGTGAGCTTAAAGATGCTTCAATCAGTATAATTCAATAAATATCAAGAGTCTATTTTTTTCTTTTTCTAACAGCACATAAGACATGTTTGTTATCTACTCTGTTTAACATTTCAAGTCTTTTAGCTCCATTTCAGAGGGTCTTGACTTAAGGGTAAAAGGTGTTGGATACACATTTGTTCAGGAAATTGTTGGATCCTGACATTCTTACCTTACCTGCCATCTAAGTTAAGTGACAACTAATGACTTCATTAATATGATAATTAAGCACTGCCACTGAAACTTCATTAGGTTTCCCCCCTCATAATATTGCTAATTGCTTGTCAATTATGGTGTTTAGCCTCCTTAGACATTAATTTCCATGCAAATTTCAGAACTGTTTGCCTAAAGAGATGAGCTCTGTGATGTGGGCATACAAAGTGTAGCCAATAGTACTTACTTTTATAGATGTACACAGAAATGAATTTGCAAACTAATAGACTTATTTAAAAGATGTGATGTCTATTTTTAACCAATAAGAACCCTTAAAAATTAAGGAATTGCAAACATAATACAACAATCTGTTCAGTTGTTTTGGTCTTTTTGCAAATTTAGTAAAATTTGAACTACTTCCCCAGATTTCTTCAGTGTTTGATCAGAATTACTGGAATTTTCTAACATTGACAAAAATAACCCATATCTGTGACAGAATGGTTAAAGTAAATAAAGATAACTAATATTCATTTAAATTCAGTTTATTTTTATAGCGCCAAGTCACAACAAATGTCATCTCATGGCACTGTACAAAAAACAATCAAAAGAAACCAGCAGATTGCGTTGATTGAATCTTCACTTCCTCACAGTCTCCCATCCTGAGCGACACATTGGTGACAGTGGAGATGAAAAACTCCCCCCTAACAGGAAGAAACCTCCAGCAGATCCAGGCTCAGGACAGGAGGYCATCTGCCTCGACCAGCTGGCTTTGAGAGGGCAGGAAAGAGGCACAGACAAACACAAAACTGGTCCAAGTGTGTTTTCCACTAGAATAGAGACAAAAACCTAACTATATGATTTATCTTAAAGGGGAGTCTTAAGTCTAACTTTAAAAGTAGAGAGAGTGTCAGCCTCATAGACAGAAACTGGAAGTTGGTTCCACAAGAGAGGAGCCTGGGAACTGAAAGCTCTGCCTCCCATTCTACTTTTAGAAACACAAGGAACCACAAGTAAATAGGGAAATGAAATAAAAATTTTCAAATGAGCACAAAACAAGAAAAGAAGTACTTTTATTTTTTGAAAATAGCTAAACAAGCTGAAACTAGCCTAAAATAGCTTTAAAAAGTAGCTGAAATTAGCACAAAGAGCACATTTGCTGAATTAAGCAGAGAGCTGAAAATCACAAAAAAGCAAATTTAGCTGAAATTAGCTAAAAAGTAGCTAAAACTCAGAAAGCAACTGAAATTAGCAGAAAGCAGTTGAAAGAAGCAGAAAAAAACTTTAAAAAAGCACTAAATTTAAATGAGCAAAAAGGTCCGAATGATAGCTAAAAAAAATCAGTAAAAGTCAAATCAACAAWATAGAAGCTGCTATTAGGAAGTTAAAACATAACCAGATCTAAAGGTGAAAAATTTAGTAAAGATTTTGAAAGGTTTTAGGGAGGTTGATAACAACTCCATTCATTTTGAATGGAAAAAAATAGACTAAAATCTTAAAAAGTACGAATTGCTGAAGTTTTAAGTCATAATCGAAATGTCCTGAAGGTACTGAACATTTGACAACTTGCCAAAAAATGTGAATGCTTGATAAGAATTCAGATCATTATACTATATTTAAAATCTAATTAATTTACATTTAACGAAACATTTTGTCAACAATCATTTCATCATTCACCATCATGAAACATGGTGATCATGTCTRTATGTGTTTGTGTGTCAGTAAAACATCTCTTGAACCACTGGACAGACTTTGAAGAAACTCAACTGGATGTACATCTCACAGCTGTGTCTTGACTTATGAGTTACAGTCATTCCTGAATAACAAAGGTTTTATTTATTTAGCTGTAGGAAGTCAACAATATAAGATAAAAAGCTAATTATTTTTATTTCTCATTCAATATTRTAACATTTTCCCAACTTTCATGAGCAGAGCACTCAGTAGCAACTGAAAGTTGACCAATCCAATCACTGTAATCAATCTRCTTTTTATTTACAGCTCCAATGAGCGATGCTGAGGTTTCAGCAGTAAGCCCATCAACACACTGCTGGCCCTTTGATTGAGACAGAGAGAGAAGAAGTGAGAGGAGGCAAGTAAACATGGACAAAATGGATTCCCTGTGTCTATATTTCATGTTGAAAATTGGCTCATAAATCCAGTGGTTTGATCTATGGAAGCGGTCGTTGCCTGAAAAAACCTCCGTAAATGTGTAATTTCTCCCTTGACAGAACACAGCCAAGAGGCTATCTTTCTTTTGCCTCCTCCTCCTCCTCCTCCTCTCTCTCCCTTCTTCTCTGTCTTTCATTTTCTCTCCCTCTCTCAGCCGTCCTGGTGTTGGATTAATGCCCTCCCCTCCCTCGCCTTTCATGCTCCTCTGATATCTTCTTTTCATCACTGCTCATACATTWATCAAAACCGGGGCTTCTCTCTGCACTCCACCTCTTGGTGTCTAAAGCCGTCTTCACTTATCTGGCAGATCTCTTATAGGATAGACATCCAGAATGTGGAGGTTATTAATAAATACAGCGCGAATAGAAAACAGGGCGGTATCGTCAGCCAAGTGTGAATGATAAAACTCCCCAACCCCAGTACTCCCAGTTTGGCGCCTTCTGCCATGAACTCCATCCAGGCTGCAGTTCTGCTGCACTGATGTGAAAAGCATGAGGCAGAACACTGCAGGAGAGTGTCTTATGATGTGGCTGAGATGGGATCTCTTTATCAAGGCCTAAGAGGTGCGCAGGCTTTTTATCATAATTGAACTGTAGCCAGGCTAATCGCGGGCATACCTCACTGTCGCTCCRCCGCATCAGCCGGGGAAACCGGCGCTGGTGATTGAAAACACAGTTAAGAGAAAAGATGTGACGTGAGGGACATAAAGTAGACAGAGGCAGGTAATAGTAGATATGATAGAAAGTTGCTGAGATACATCACGCCTTGAGGTAACCGCTGATGTGTCAATGATTAGATTCTTCTGTGGCAAAGTGCTTTATACCCATTATGTCACATGCAATCACTGATTACTAGAAGGTAAAAATACAGGAATTGTTCGTTATCAGGTGAGGATTCCCTCTAGCGTTTGCTGTATATGTGTCATAAAAATACCCTAAACAGACTTTGGCCCCTGTGCCCCCCCCCCCCCTCTCTCTCTCTCTCTCTCTCATCTTCACGTCTCTTTGACTTTCACCTTCATGTGTATGTAGGTCACCTTGAGGGGGAAAACTTTTAATCATCGTTCCACATCAAATCCACCTGTGCCCCTCTGGGACACTGAGCCGCAACAAAAGCAAGGGGGGAGCAGGAGATAAAGTGCCCACAGGGCTGGACAGTAGATGTTATTTCCACTGGATTTTTTYCCCCTTCTTTTGCTGGTGGGGGGTGATGGCCCACTCCTGCACAAACCCCATCACTAGTGCTAAGCAGTGCTTACAGCGAGGCATTAACCCCACTGTCCACTCCMCACATTCAAGCCCAGGGAGGCAGGAGAAGTGGAGTAGAGAGGCCAGAGTGACTAAATCTAGACTTCCCTTTTCCCCAGAACTGTGTTTCTCTTTGGAACATCTGCCTTTCTGCTGTCCTACCTGATCAGRGTGTTAGATGACTGATATCAGAAGGACAAATAGGAGTGGGAATGCAGTGAAAGTTGCAATCACTTTTTGTTCTAGTTAAATATTAACACCGGTGTTGGAGATGCCTTCATATTGTAATTTACAATTAAAGTGTAGCCACTCCTGATCCTAATTTGTTCTTGTTAGTAGCTTATTGAAATATAACTATTTTCTAAAAAAGCATGTCTCCAGCTACAATGTGTCTGGCCTGGCCATTGCCTTCCAATGCAGTTCTGCTTCATTCTAATCCCTTCTCTTCTCCGTCTGGGTTTTTTTCTAGTGACATGGATTTCTTTGGTAAAATTTTAACCGGGCCAATCAGGAAACAGAAAGAGGTGATGTGAATGATGACATCAATTTTCTGCTTTGTTTTAGTCTRCCTGTAGTTTAGCAATGGCATTGGAGGAAGTGAATGAAGCCATTCAGTTTGTGTTGACAAGGCTTCCAAATGAAGTTAAATTTGTCTCACAAAGCCTGCAGCCCTCATTTTACTGTCATCTCCTTTGGCTCGGTACTTCTCTCTTCCCATTAGGGGATGGATGTTTACAGCGTACACAATTTCCAGTTAGCTTTTTAGCTTAGCGTATTTGATGGCCGAGCAGGTGCACTACATACGTCACGGCCAACTGTTAGCGATTGTTTTAAACTTCCACAGAGTCCACGCCTCACGCAAGCAATCGTTTCTCAACAGCTGAGAGTCCAGACCCTCTGTACGAAGCAAAGTGTGGAACAAGGGGCTGGTTTGTACCAGGCTACAATGTTTCCTCAATCTTTGTAAAACTGGTTGACTTTCCATCATTTTTGTTTTTTGACTCCAAAGGTTTCACTTAATACTTTCTATTAGTTGTCTACTAAAATCTGTTCAGTGGTATATCAGATGTTTAGCTAAGAAAACAGAATGTGCACATACAGATGAATAGATGATTGCCCATTTTCCTAGGCAGCGGGCGTTAAGAACTGAAGGAACTGGCAACAAACAATAAAAACCAAAGAGCATGTAAACTGAAAGAGATTTCAGTTCAGGTGAGCTGATTGAAAACAATAAACAGGTGGTGAAGTAAGCTAGAAAAAAAGAGGAGTAATAATGTCAAAGACTGCAGGAATCAACAAGAAAACATAAAGCTGAACAAGAAGAGAAAGGATCTTCAGAATAACCCAAAATCCAAACCAAAACATTTACTTTTTCAACATTTTGAGTTCAAAGTTAGGCTCTAAAACTTCTAGAATCATGAGATTCTAAAACGTAAAGTCCAAATGAGTT